CCTGAAGCCAATTTGGCAAAATTAGTAGGGCGAGGAGTAACACTGAAACTTTATCCAAAAACTCAACACAAAACCACAGCAGGAAGTCAGAGGAAGAAAAAATATTAACCTTTGCTTGTCACAGTTTTCAGACTTTAAAGTTACAGTTTGAGATATTGGAAAATAAACTGGTTTCCTTTCTTGAGTAGGAAGATTTACATCACAAGAAACTATAGCTAGCAGTTAGCTTAACTGGAAGCGCAGAAAACAGAGGTCAAGAGCTCAAGAGGCTCTATCCAAACACAAATCACAGCATCTCTAGCTCAAAGCTCACATTTAAACATTTTATTAAGTTAGTCGAGGTACAAACCTTAGAGGTGCTAGTAGGCTACTTTTTAATGTCTGCCTAGAAGACAGAGTTAGCTAATAGCCTGGTGTGCTACTAAGTCGCTCTGTCACTGCACTTCAAATTAACATTCATTTTTACACTTCAGGTTTTAGAGAAATAAGATGTAACAGTTCAGCGTTGTTCTGTCAAAGTTTAGAAAATCACTGTTTCAGTCTTGTACAGTTATTCTTATCTAACACAGGCTGCTAGCCTCACTGTAGTTTCACATGTGACGGACAGATGTGAGAGTGGTATCAATCTTCTCTTTATACTCTTGGCAAAAGAAGCAAACAAGTCCATTCTTAAACTTTTGGTTTCAAAGAAACCCTGGAGGAATGTGGAGAGGGGATATATGTATAAGGAGGCATTGAGATGTGACTTTAATAGCACGCAATGGACAATTTCAAACTGCAGCAAACAAACTAGCCCAAAGAGTCAGAACAGATCTATAAATAAATTATTAAAATCCACATGGACAAGAAAGATAAGCTTTGGCTGATAACATATCCATCAGTCTTACCTTGCTCATGTGAAACTCCAGACGTCGCATGTACCTCTCAATGGTTTTGATTTGCTGCAGAAAGAAATACAGCACAATAAATTACCTGGAGATAACGCTCTGAACATGTCAATACTGCTGAATATAATGAGGCACAGCTTCCAAGTCTGAGCATGAGTGACATTAATGTTCAATTAAACGTTATAATTCAAGTAATTTCTTCTGTCCTCCAACTCATTTTGTATTATTCTTTAGCCTCTAACTCATCGCTTAAGCTGTTTTTACTTCTTCTCTCCCTTTCAGCTTCTTTTACATGATTTCCTCAACACACATCAAACTTTGAACGCTGGTTACAAGTGGACCCTCCCCTCCGTCAACTCACCTTGTCAAGATCGTACAGCACTCCCTAGAAAAGCACACACACACACACACACACACACACACACACACACACACACACACACACACACACACACACACACACACACACACACACACACACACACACACACACACACACACACACACACACACACACACACACACACACACACACACACACACACACACACACAGTGTTAGTTCGGATGGAACGCACAGCTGAGGCTGCTTAAGTAAAGCTAAGCAGACTGTAGGTGTCTGGCATCAATAATACATCCTATTACACAAAACCTTCCAGAGGCAGCCTTGTCTCAGTATTTGTGTTTTATGTGTGAGTGATTGTGTGCACAGGAATATATTCAAATAGGGTTGCCATGTTTGAATCTGTGATGCTGAGATCTATAAAGTGATTACAGGGTCAACAACAAACATTTTGGCAGCTGACATAGAATTAAGCAACAGTAAACATACATAATGCAGCCTACAGGAAATTCATTTCAAGATTTGAGTAGCAATTCTCATTAAAAGACAACAGGAAAACTGCCTGTTTTACACAAGAAAGTGTAAATAATTGTTTCAAGATGTTGGTGAGGCAGGACTAAACTGTGTTTAAATGTATATTTGTGTGTTAGCTGATGGAAGGGGTCTCACCAGGCGAGAGTTCCTCTTCATGTCCTTCATCAGAGACATAAGTTTGTCCAGCTCTGTTTGATGAACTTCCAGATACTCACTACGGGACAAAACAAATTCAAAGAGATTAAACGTTGGAAATTTCTGTGAGGGAAATGAATACTTTATAATTATAATAGCACACTGCAAAAAAAACCGGTTTGTATTAATTGACTGTGGAAGTACACATTAAGGAGGAGATTAGTTACATCTGGACTTAAACCATGAACTGCCTGGCAGAAAAAATAAATAAATAAAAGGTCAGAAGGAGCAGTGCATTCACACTTTAAGTATACATCAGTATGTGTGTGTTACTCACTCGAGGCCTTGTTTGAGTGCATTGTAAACCTCCTCCAGTCTTTTGGGCTGTGGGTCTCTGGAACTGCTGCCCCCCTTGTGTCCCGACAGGTGGGGCTTCTTTGGCTTGGACTGGGGCTTCTTCTGCACCGCAGAGTTCCCCATGAAGGAGTTACACCTGCACACGCATTATGAACACACAAGCACAACACATTCAGAAAAGGCAATGGAGGGTCTGTTGTGAGCGGGACATTTCCACTTCTGAGGTATATACATCTAATTGACTGAAAACAGTTCAAAACCAACCTTCTGGAAAAAAAAATGGGAGTTGAAGAGCAGCAGTGTACATGTACATTTGAATCAAAATGTGTACTACTTCCTGGAGTTCTAACTCAGTTAAACCTGAATAAACAAAGTGGATAACTATTTTAGATTCAGTGGGACTTCAACATCCAATTTTTGAGGCAAACTGCAAATAAATCCACAGATGCAGATCAGACTTTAAAACCCCAAATTCCCAGTAAAACACACACACATCTAATAGAAATGTTGAATGGGCAGCATCAGAGGACATTTATGTATTAATTTATACCACTGTGAGCAAGTCCTCGGGTCAGCCTCTGCATTAATTAATCTCATTTGTCAGGCTGAGTGGGCTTTGTCAGGTCAATTCACACAATGATAACTCAATCACACATGTAACCTGCATATCATTCAAACCAGCAGAAACCTGTCAAACTAGCACACAGTACTCAAAAAAAGTAACCACACAACCTCCGCAGTTAACCTCTACATCGATCACATGGCTGTGCTGAATCACAAGTATGCACACATATATGCGACCAAACAAGTGCGAGCATGTGATTCATATACTGCACCCTCAGTTTGACCCGTGTATGTTGACCATTTCTCTTCTGCTGGAGTGAACGTACAAACACAACTTGAGGCAAAATCTGACTCCCAGCAATCAATGACATTCAAGTGTTCCCCTAATTATTCTGTCCTGCAGTCCTCCTGCAGTAAAGCAGCATCGGGGTGACGGATTTATGGGTGGAAGCCAACAAATATGCAGTATAATAATTAGGGTTCATTAGTTGACATGTTCGTATAAAACAAAGTGACACAGGCTTATTGAAATGGTGTCATGAGAAGAAAAGGGTAACGCTGCAAATAAAGATAAATTTCAATACAAATAATCGGTTTATTTTTGGATTTAGTTAGTAATGGCTGGACTGTAGCACATCTAAACTTCCCAGGTCAGGTTATAATGTCTTGTTTTAAGAAGTATATAAAAACCTAGAATGATTAAAAAGGGAACATAATAAAAGTATTCCTTCTTTATTTGTAGAATAATATTACTTGATTAACATATTGATTAAAGCAGTGATTCTCAAAGTGGGGTCCCAGGACCCCCAGAGGTCCGCGAACCATAGCTTGGGGGTCCGCGGAATAATTTACATACAATTGTAAAAGTGTGCTTTATCATTGAAAAAGCATATCTACAAACTGGGACCTCTTGCATCAATAATATAATCTATTTTACCCAATACTCCCGCCCACTTTAGTTTAGTGCCATTAGTTCAATTCTGATATGATCATGACATGTCTGTCACTTCATAGTCTGCAACTATGAAAAAAAAGAAAAAGAAAATCAAAACAAAAAACTCCTCCGAGCCAACATTTTCTCAAAGTTTATAAAATGAATTACTTGGAAAGTATACATGTAGCCTAATTCTATCGTTGCAAAGTACTACATAGTACATTATTACATAGTATTAATATATGCTTATCAATGTTAAGATAATGAGGGGGTCCTTGGAAAAATGTCTCACCTGAAAGGGGTCCATGGTCTAAAAATCTTTGAGAACCCCTGGATTAAGGGACTCAATGTTTCATCTCTATATGTTCAAACCTGAGGGACATGATGAGCATTTCTCAATAGCCTGATATTTGAAGTCTAAACAGGCTACGACCTATGGTTACTTTACCATTGATTTATCAGTCAGTTTTATTTTAAACCACAAGTCCCAAAGTCCAAGAGTTAAAAATGTCCCTCATCATTCTTAAGACTAAAAGGCAAACTCTTAAATTGATGGTTCAGTCTGACAAAGATGGCAAAATCCTGCTGTACATCTTCTACAATTCTACAATTCACTTAGCAGACGCTTTTATCCAAAGCGACGTAAATCAGAGAGTAAGTACAACACAAGCAAAGATCTAGAAAAAAGGGAACAATGTCAGTAAGAGCAAACAATCAGCTTTGAGTCTGATTGGACACACAGGTGCTGACAGGAAGTGACCAGAGGCAAAGCACAACATTGAGGGCAGTTCTTGAGAGCTCTAATCAGTATAGAAACCATCTTATAAGTCATTGTTATCAAACAAAAACCATCGTCATTACCATCATCATCATCAATAATATGGAGACCATCATCATTAAGTTAGTAGGTATTCATGAAAGAATACCTACTAACTTAAAAAAAGATTAGCAGATTACCAAAAGTGCTTATTGAGAATTCCATGATTGGTTTCAGCTCCACATCTTAGCCCAGTCTCTCCGTTCAACTAAAGAAAAGCCGCCCCCTCTTCTTCACAAATCAATCCATTTATAAGTCACACTCACTCCTCCCACTCATAAACATTTACAGATTAAGCTGACAAAAGTAATTTCCTCCGACTCAGTGAAATGATCCCGGAGTCATCACAGCGATGAGGGCGACAAACGATTCCAGTGCTCGACAAGTGGGAACGTGCCACGTCTTGCTGCGCGCCAGCACAAGTAAAACTAAAGCTGCTACACAAATGTAGGGCAGCGCTGAATGAGAGCGCAGTGTAGCCTTGGGGGTCACACAAGCAAGTAGTGTATTAGGGGTCTCTTGGCAGGAAAACACACACATATGCATAGATGCTAAAGCAGCATCGAGTTCTGATCTGCAAAGTGTGCAGTATGCGTAAATGCACACTGAACACACACATGGGTACACACACACATGAAAGCCACGTTCACTAACACGAGCTGGAGCTCTGAAGCTTTCCACCGCGCTCATTATGAGAATGGTAACTTGTCAGTCGCTGTCAGTTGCCCACACATCCGAGTCATTCCAGCCAATTACCCTGTTCGCTGTCTGAGCGGGGAGAAAAGAGAGAGAACAGTGTTCTTAAAAAAAAAAAAAGAAAAAAAGAGTTTCTAAGAAGGGCCAGGGCTGATGATGACCAGCCGTCAAAAGAAGAAAGATCAAACATATTTCTGATGTTTCTGAGATTTGAGCCAGCTTTGTCTCATCGATAGAACTCTGATCTCTCAAGAAATTAATTGATTTAAAACATCTCTTAACTAACAAAAAAGAAAAACACGACTGAGTTGAATGGTTATGCAACCCAGTGATGGTCACAGCTTAAGAACTACTTCCCTGATGGGGATCTAGAGACTGGCTGTGGCGCGATGAGTGTCATGAAGTTTTGCTCCAGATTACTGAAGCGGTTAATTCCCCTCCTTCTGTGCGAGTGATGCTGAATCTATGTCTGATATCAGAGCTGCAATTTAAAGCAGGCGAGCAAAGGAAGAAGGCCTTCTCTCTCTCTCTCTCTCTCTCTCTCTCTCTCTCTCTCACAAAAGTTACGCCTAACAACTGACAGGAAGTGCATTTGAAAAAAAGACTATATTAACAAGGCCAGTACCAAAAGTAAGCCCTGAGTGAAGCCAGCAAATTCTGAAATGTAATAAGCTGTTAGCATTAGACAGATCCTAGTGTCTATGAGGTCATGTGTTGTTTTAGAGGGTTAGTCTTTACTCTTTTGGCAAATGACAGAGGGTGCGCTTCTGGAGGAGGAAATCAGGGATAGAGAGAGAGAGAGAGAGAGAGAGAGAGAGAGAGAGAGAGAAGGAAGGAGAGAGGAATGACATGCAGGAAAGGAACTACAGGCTGGATTTGAATCAGGGCCGTACACTAAAGTAAAATAAAGATCATAATAATTCACCTTCAAATCAATACAGTCCCTAATGAAATGATGCATCCATAAAACTTGAACTAACTTCTTGACCCTGATAGTCATCTTGAAAATGAGTGCCAACATCTGACCATAGATTAACAGCTCTTGACATTTCTGCTTACCGAGAGCGTCTCTCTTGTAGCGTGCTGAAACCTGCAAAGGACTGACTCCGGATTATGCCATTGGGCCCTCCAGGGGAGTGGGTGCCGGCCGCCATGATCTCTGGGACGCGGGACGACACTCCTAGAGGAAGAAAAAAAAAAGACACATAAATATGTCATGTACAAATCTAGTGATAAAAGTCGGACACTGAAGAAGTCAGGATCAGGGTCCACAGAACATCATGGGTCGAACAAAAGCATCCTTTGAACCCAATTAAAACCTGACCATGTCAACAGAGAGGTTAGCTGGAGTGCAGGGAGCCTTATGCAGTGTAGAATAATAATAATAATAATAATAACTTTATTTATATAGCAGCTTTTAAAAACACAGGTTTACAAAGTGCTTTGACAAACAGCAAAAACGAGAACAAACTAAACCAAACACAGAAGAACATAAACAACAGCAAGAACATAACAAATGTAAAATACTAAAAATAATTAAATACAATTCAACAGAAAAGAACCCATAGTGCACGATACCCAACAGACATATATAACCCGACCATCACAAGAACCATCATAAGAACCATCATAATAACCATCATAAGAACCATCACAAGAACCATCATAAGAACCATCATAAGAACCCAACAACACGAGCTGAGACCAAGAGGACCAAAGATTTAAAAAGATGTAAGAAAGTAAAAGAGCTCAAAGCAAATCAAAAGAGAACAGCAATAAGAAGGTAAGAGCAGGAAAAGAAATAGAAACAAGTGAATAAAGGATAAAAAAATATATATATTAATAAAATAGAACAAAGTATGCTCTGTCTGTGAAGCTTGCATCACGATGTGGACGAGCAGCATTCAGAGCCAGCGCTAACACGTCTGGACTCCTCTGGCCTGCTGTCACCACTCAACTGTTACAGTCTCATGTTTTCCCTCCACAGGTAGCCATCACAAAAACATGAGTCCTGTCACTTTCCATTCAGTGCGCCGTTTACTCAGAGCATGTTTTTCACCTGAAGAGGCTTACTCTCTCTGAACGTGCAATTCATCAGACTGACAGCTGTTTGAAAGAAGCAGAAGAGGACCGAGCAGGAGCCTCAAACATACCAGAGAGGACCGGACCACAGAGCTGCTGCAGCTTTAAAAAGGCCATGTTTGTGATATAAAATAGGGCAAATAAACCCTAAATAAGCCAATCAAAAACCAGTCCAGTGATGGCGGAGTTATCTAATCAGCTTCTCAAATAGTTCAAGTGTCTTTTATCGCTGTGTCTATATTTAGCAGCCTGTCAGATTTTGAACCTTTTTTTAAAGCAGGAGATGTGAAATGACTTTGGTGGGCGCTTTGGGAATGAGCTGAAAATAGACACTTAAACATCACGTAAAGCTGTCAGATGATCATGTAGCGAGGATGAGGCGTCCACAGGGAAGACTGCATTGAGATGAATGAATGATGGTTTTAACTAGCAGATTTTTTTTTTTAAGATCATGGAGGTAATGGCATCAGGGCGCCATTTAAACTAAACTTAGAAGCTCTGATTGTGATTACAAACATAGCAGTGATGCACCAATCCACTGCAGTATATTATACTGATTTATATTTGTATGGGGGGAAAACAATGGGTCAAATAACTTGTAATCCTGTGTGGATCAACGATTAATGATTGGAATCCATTTCTAGCAAATTCCAGGTATTTCTAATTTCTCAAACATGATGTTTGCTGCTTGTACACAGAGAGTAATGAGCTCCTTTAATGTGCACACAAACCTGACCAAAATAGATAATCCTGATTTTTTAAATGCATATCTCCAGGTGATGAACACTTAGTTCAAAATTAACAATTTAAGACAATTTAAGACCTCCCATTGGAGATATTAACTGGGGGGGAATGAAAATTCAATTTGCCTGCAGCTGTTGCTAAATAATGTTTAATGATACAATACCATATGAAAATATATACTTTATGATTACCTAAAACAAATTGGCCTCAGACTTTAATGTAAGCAGTCTTAACAAAAGCATTGATTAAAAAAAAAGGATAATTGTGTCTAATAGTTTGAGTCACACCAGCACTCTCTCTTTCAAATCAAACATGTACCCATCAAATCCAAAGCCAACAGTTATATAACCTATATAGGTTGTATATTATGTTAACTGAGCAAAAAAGCAGAAGGAAATCAAAACAAGACAGAAACTTTAGCTTAACTGACTAACACTCTGAACTCAGCATAAATAGTCTGACGACTTTTAAAAACTGAGGTGAAGAAGTCCAAGTGTCTTCTCTGTCTCGTTAATCTGTATCACTTCACTGCTGAGCTGAAAGTAAAGTTTGGTGGACACAGAAATGCCTGGAGGAGGAGAGAGAGACAGATTTGTCAAAACAAATTAAACTCCACTAACAAGCAGAGGAATCAGCCTGTGAAGTATTCAGCTCTGCTTCTCTTTCTCACATAAACAGGACACAGCAATCCCAATGTCACCAGTTATACAACATTGCAGGTGAAAAGCAAAATATAGCATTTTTGTTTCTCTTTGCGTGTTCCCTTCTGACTGTACATGCTCGATTTTTTTCCCCCAGCTCTTTTCCATCCATATTTCTGCATTAAGAGGGGTGCCAACCTTTGTTTCAGGGGGCGAGGCCCGAGCTCGTGTTGTCAAAACCTCGTCCACAAACAATGCTACATGAGATTAAGCTAACAACCTGATACCTCGGCCTCTGCTCTGTGATGGACAGGGAGCCAAACAAAGACCTGACATGGGGCCCAAGGAAAGACTTCAGTGTTGTTTTGTGATGGGGGGGACAATAGGCCGGTGACACTGACACTGTTCAGGCTATTTATAGCAGCAAGCTCAATTTAACACCAAGGACTCTGATGGCAGTGACTCACTACATGAATCACTGATAGCGGATGGTTATAATTTGGTCTGGAACACCTTTCTGTTTGTCTGTCTGTTTGTTTGATTTGATGTTGCTAAAAAAATATCTTGTTTGGTTCTACAGAGTAATGATTTTGGATGTGAAAATATATGCAACTAAATCTTTGGATTTTGGATTGTAAGCCAACTACAGCTAGCACCATACCTGGCCATGTGAAGACAATCAGAGATGCTAATGCTACTCCGTCTTTACTGGACGAGTTAAAATTTTACTTAAAACCTTATTAAATTGCTAATCATCATCCTGTTTGCAAGGTGTCTTGATGTATCTGTGCCTTTTGTCTGCCTTGCCTACAAAGTTTTAAAAATGATTGAGACTTTGCTGGCAATTTCAAATTAAATCAAGGACAGCATTTCCAATGCAAATTCAAACTACTCCATCTCGCTGCCCTGCATTCACACAGAGAGAGAGAGAGAGAGAGAGAGAGAGAGAGAGAGAGAGAGAGAGCGAGAGAGAGAGAGAGAGAGAGAGAGTAAATCCATGACAGGAGTGAAATCTCAAAAGACGATTACAGTCATGACATGCGTTTGCAGCATAAAGTTAACAAAATCTCTCTTAACAGGCTCAGCTGATGTGATTCGGCCTATTTATAGTAACAGCCTTGACATGATATCCAAAAAAAAAATGTCAGCAAAATTAAGTAAACAGACTTTGCTTATCACATGGAAATGTTGTCTTGTAAAGCTGGTGTCATGTGAAAGAGGCTAAGAGGACAGAATAAAAAGGAGTTAGTAAGGAAATGTGTGAAGGCTGTGGAGAGGATTTAATGCACAGTTATCAGACCTCTGATGACTGATTCTGAGCAAGCTAAACATACAATAAGTTTCATTTGAACATCAGGAGATTTCCAGGTGACATGCTCTTATCACCATGGAATAATGCTGAGATATTATCAGTAAGATTACATTATCCCCCTGTGCTGTATAAAGCAGGTGAAAGACATTTCAGCAGAGCAGCAACTCTCCCATAATGCTCCATTTTGCTCTCTGGACGCTCAACAACAGCTCAGCTTTCTGCTCAGTATTTTGTCTCTCTCGCCCGTCTGACTCACTCTCTTAAAGAAGAGTGGTGGGTGGAAGATGACGCTACATTTTGTTATGTATATGCTCTAACTAACAGAACAGGCTGGACTCTGCACTTCAGCACTTCCTGACAATTTCTGTAGACGTAAAAAAAAAAAAAAAAAAAGTGAATGATGATTATTAAAAAGGGCAGGATGACTTTTCACAGAATTGAAAAATATTGTGAGCGCAATGACATAAGACGTTCAAGCTTTCAGTTTTAGCCCCTTGCTCTGATCCTCCAAGAGGTAAACGCAGGAAGTTAAATGTGAATAGTAAACTGACAGAACAAAGCAGGAAAATAAGCTCTGCATTATTTACCTCGGAGAGAACAGTGAGCTCACTAAAAAAGTCAGGGAGGACTGTTTTGAATTCACTCAGTGTTATCATGGACTTGTCATCCACTGTGGATAAATGTGCCACTTTCTCAAAAGATAATCATCTAGTCTCTTCCTTTTCTTCAGTTGCAAAACAATTGTTGTCAACCAGCAGTTTTGCCTTCTGCAGATTTGACCGAGGATGATGTTGAAATTTGAGCAAAATATTTCAGGTTTCAAAATATGTTTGTTATATAAACACCACACACATAAAAGACATGTGCAACAGTCACCTGTTAAAATGTTTCAAAATAAATGTCTGACAAAACTTCTGATTTTTGACAGTGTTGTTCTTTCATCACTGTGTCTACAGGGGGACACGGGAGGCTTTTCTACGGTGCGCTAAAGGGACAAACAGCATGTGATTGATTGTGATTTAAAAAGATATATACGTTAATTTCAAACCATAATTAGTTGCGATTAACTAGTTTATTCTGAGCAGCCTAATGACTTCACTCTGTTGTTGTCTTTTGAAGTACACATTTTGGCAAGAGAACAATGCTGAACATACTCTCACTCCAGGCTTGTGGGATTTTCCCAAAACTTTCCCAGCTCAGCAAGCCCTTCAAACACACTCATTTGAATCAGTGTTTCCATAGTAACACACACACGCACGCAGCACGCACACACACACACAGGCTTGAGTTCAGCCACTGAATCATAAAAACCTTTCCTCTGCACTCTTAGTGTCACCGTTGGTGTCGTGTAAAGACTCTTTCAGAAGGAGAAAACATTGCGCTCTGGTTCAGTGCAGCAGTTCAGCGTGTTGAATTCAGCTGCCATCAGTCCATTCACAGCTCCTTCTTCTTGCAGCTCTCACACTGAACAGCCTTAAACGCCTCAACGAGGTGTGTGACTGTGCTTCTCTGAGGAGTGTGTGTGTGTTAGACTGATCATGATGCTGAGCAGTAACTTGGGCAGAGACACACACACACACGCACACACGCACAGACACACCACACACACACACACACACACACACACACACCAACACACACACAGATTAGTAAGGGGGAGCATAAGAAAGCAGGACACTGATGTAATCTCATTTGCTTTTCTCTACAAAAGCCCAAGTGCATTAATGCATTAGTCACCTGCATTGGTGTTTGTGTGTGTGTGTGTGTGTGTGAGTCTGGGGGGTCTGAGCAGACTTTAAGAAAATGAGGCATGAGAAAGCATCTTCATGTAGGAGAGGAAGGAAAGGAGGCGTCTGGGTACCATGGTGAGATAAGGCATGCACCCTGCACAAATCAGACAAAACTGTCAATTACAAAATGTCACATATAACTGTCCTCAGAAATAGCATATGACAGTTGGAAAGGGGGAGGGGGCAACAAATAATGTTAAAGATGTAGTCTGTGAATGTACATTGTGGATGGGCAAATGCGTACAGTAAATAACACATGGCTGTTAAAGACGCAAGAAACAGCAGGTTGATTGATAGAATCTGCATGTCTTTGCAATTTTTTGACAACGCTTATCTTGTGTGCTTTTCACAGGTTTGTACAATGAGAGAAGCTAGCAAGGCTCCTGGAAATGATGCTTCTGGCTGTTTTTTTGTCAGTCAAATAAACCACAGAGACATTGGACCATCAGCCAAACAAACACATACATAACTGTTTTTTGTCTTCTCTGAATCCTTCATCCATTTGTTCTGAGGTGAGTCAGATGTTTGAAACATTTCTCCACTCCACAAGGTTCTTCCTATCTCGTCTTGAATGACAGAGTGACTTCTTTTTAGTCTGTTTGTTTATTTACCTTAATGATCATTCTTACT